CGTGTCATTTTTCAAAAACCAAACCCCGCAGACATCGGTCGCCGCGTCGCCGTTAGGGGACAACTGACCTTTTTCCTCGCAAATTTCGACCACGAGCGTGAAAACGAGAACGATGGATTTGCACAAGCCGGTCTCCCTTTGATCGACATTTCATATCTGCGCCCGCTGCTCGCTTTTTACGAGCGATTCGAAGTTTTATTTCGATACTTGGGATACTCTATTATATGGTCGAGCGAGTTTTATTATCACCGCGGTATTAATTGTCGTGTGGCGTTAATTTGCTGAGGGTCTGAACTCGTGAGAATCGTAGGAAGCGAGAAAAGGAAAGGAGGGGGCGCTAGTGGACTCATCAGTAAGGCTTTTTAGCCTTGCCTTAGACGACTGGACGGGGTCGGTCGAGCACTTGTGAGAGCGCGTCCCCTCTGGTGGCGAACATGGGAAGCGACGCCACAGTCGTATCGTGATATCGAACTCTTCAATTTTAGCATATTCTTGAAACAAATAGTGGGATTCGTTGTAATCCACATTTATTCACATTGATTGTCAATTAGTATCCACTACTAATAACAAAGTACGAGGGTTGATTGATAATTTAGGTTTCCAACAACACCACAAGTGGTGTTTATTTCAGAAAGACTTATTATCTGTATTAGTTTACATATGTTATGCTTTTATTTGCAACAAGACTCGTCAACTAAGTATTAATTTACATTTTACACTGTAGTTTTATTCTCCAACCATTTCAACGACCGTAGCCCGTCCCAGTTCTAAACGTCGAGTTCGAGAGTCGATGAAAAGAAACAGATACCTTTTTCGATCGTACCTTCCAATTTATTATTTACTCTGATCATTTTCCGCTCCGTCCATTGGACCAAACTGGGATTCAAGAACAGACTCAAGGCCGGGACTTCCGTTCCCTCCTCTGTTTTTGTCAACGGTAAGAAGTTCGTTCCGCGAGCGTCCGAGTTTTCCCAGACTTCCCTTTCCGCCTTCGAGATAATACGAAAATAATCATCGCCGGTAACGAGAAAACTTCTGGACGCTTTACTGAACTCGATAATGTAAATAACTTTGTCCCAGTCGAATTACAGAATCCTAGATCTACGAGCATCGAGAGTTTCATTCTCGGCGACCATGTTGCTTGATCCTGACGAATTGGCGAATGGCGAAACGGAATATTGACGGAGATTAACTTGCTTCATCAAATCAGGTATTTGAGACGATTCCTCGATAAGAGAATTATCATCCTGCGACACGTATCGCGAATTAATCAAGTGCTGATTCAATGTACCGTTGCCAACGCTGTTCCGAAAGATTATCGCGAAATTTTCTTAATTACAAGAGTAGGAAAAAGTTTTAATTAACATCGTGTTCAGACCCTTCCACTGTGAGATACCATCGGTTTAAGTAACGGAGTGTAATATATGCAGTGTCGGTTTTACAGTGGCATAAATACCGAGTTATTGCTTGTAAAACGAATGAATATATCAAATTAATTTCTAACTATATTTAGTGAGAATGCATTCGATCAATATTTGTGGAGCATTTTAATCTTATACTTTGTTCTATTATGCATCAACCTCTTCCCGTCTGAACTTTTTGCGTTAAATAATTTCGGGTGAATTTAATATCGCTAAATGTGTTTTAAAAACCGACTAAAGAATTCTGACATTCGAATATATAATTCAAAGTAATAACATTTACTAAATTAAAAGACTAAATTCTAGATTTTATATTTTCTATACCCACAGAGATGGAAATAGATATTTTGTAGAATTTATTAAAACAAAATTACTTAGAGTTTCCCAAAAAAATCACTTTATAAAAGGTGCTACTTACTTTTTTATTATTACTGGTTTTGTGACGTAGGATACAAGCTCTTTAAAATCACTCTGTATATCGGAGATATCAGTATCGAAATAACAATTAAGGGTTTAGTAATTGCACCGTTCATTGCTTTTCATGAAAAAAAACGATTCTCGTTTAATTGCTTCTGCTTCCAATCATTGCACGATTGCCAGCCACTGCCATTAATACTCGGAACAAGTACAGCAGAAAGTAGTTGCACAATGAATTGGGCAGGGCGATGATTTAAATCGAAGTTTGCAAAATATGGCTATTGGCGCTGGTGGACGAAGAGTATTTGATTTTGTTTAACGTTCAACGTATCGAACAATAGACTTGCCGTATATTATCATGATTTGCGATTAGACTTTCTCTAAGATAGTATTTCGCAGTTAGATTCCTGTCACGACATTTTCCCTTATGATTCATTTCGCCAGAAAGTTATTTCTGTGAAGCTGACGCACTCATGGTATGTAAGACAATATAAGGGCTGCTAGACTTGGTATGTCAATGTTTCAAACGTTTAATGTTTCTGAGTGATATTAAAAATATGTGAAATATAAATCCTCCTTTTGTATCATTTTTAATGTAAGTAATGCTTGATATTGGGTGGAATGTAGAAAGAAACGCTTTTTAAAATTAATGTTTATTTTTCTAGTATCCTATTAATAAGGTGACGATTATATCAATAGTTATGTTAATCGTCAAAGCATTAATTTTTTTGTTTTCTTCTTCCGTCTCGTTTTTATGTTACTCACAGTAATTCATTAACTCTGTCATAAAAAGTTTGCGAAATATTTATATTTACAAATGTCGACTGAATATGCATTTTGTTTCATCTTCAATTGTCATAAATAATTGTTAGACTGCGGATCTTTATGGAAATTCTTATTTTTATTAATAGAATTAATGAATTGGGAAGGGTTGTCTCAATCCTTAAATATAATAGTCCGTATCTTATAATACTTGAAGTATTTTTTATATTTTTGAGAACTAAAATTCCCCATAAATGCATAAATATCTGCAGTTTAATAATTATACAAGATAATACAAAATAATTCTACATCATTCACCATGTAATGATCGTTTCATAGATTCATCAATGGAACCAATAAAGTTTTGTTACGTAAATCACTTTCTTTAGATATTCTGCATTTGAAAGGTATAACGTAAGGTCATTGACAATTTAATACTTTAAGAGACATTTCATCTGGTTTTATTTAATATTAAAACAAACCTAAAACGCTAATAATTTTAGAAACTATTCTTTCATAATGTTTCAATTACATATTCTTCAAAATTAAAAGAAAATGTAGCTATTTGTAAATTTGAAACATATCTAAAAAACCAATTGAATTGTTAATAACCTTACCTTCATCAAATCAAAAAAATTGATTTAGCTAAAAAAAATTAGCAACCTCCATTTAAAAAAGAGTGTATTACGGAGTGTGTTAATCAGTGTAAAATTTTCTTGTACAATTTTCTAACTTCTCTTGGAACAGAACTATGAAATTAGTAAATTCCAGCTCTTTTTCAGGCTTGACAGGCAGAGAGAATGTCTTGTTGAAAATAACCTCAAGATATTCGTAATTAGACTACTCTATGCATTAAGTAATTGTTTCGTATCAAAGGATGATGACCCGTAATTGAATAAATATATCGTAAACCATTAGAAAGTTTCTATTATCGAAATTCACGCTACTTCACTTTGAATAAATAAAATTATGTTGGTCCTAATCGATATCTAAATTTAATCGATTCGAAGAATGTCACCGAAAACGTAAACGTACGTCTGGTTGGCGTTGACGTTTGGATGTAGCCTTTGAAGGTAGTCGAGTTGGTTGTCTGAATACCGAAACGTTTAAGAAAAAGAAATGTACTTAAAGAAAAGAGGAGAACAAAAGGGGATTTCCGGACGGAAAGAACGTGCGTGAGAAAAGTTAAAAGAACTCCTGCAAAGGACTCATCCGTTTTCATTGAGGATGCTTAAGCAACTGCTTGTTAGTAAAGTGTGTGTTTCAGTTATTAGTTGATCGTTTATTTAGTTAAAAGTTTCAAACAAAAGAGAAATAGTTGATGAAGTTGTTTCTCTGAAAAATATATGTTGCAATACGTAGAATAAATGTAAAAATTCACCAGTGTCATAAATAATACCATTTTCGGAGAAATTACTAGAAAAACACACACTTGTAAAACGGGAGTACTCGTTTCTCATTGGTGATGTGTTAAAATATGTTGTAGATATTAATATTCTAAGCAACTTTTCCCAATACATATTACCGCCGTTCGACCTTAGTTTCCGAGATATTCGCAGAAACTTTTGTGGCGGTGCTTCCCATGCTCGCCACCAGAGGGATCGCGTTCTCACAAGCGCTCGACCGGCCCGTCGGTTGCTATATATACATTCTTTGACCGACTTCCCAACATCCCAGTCGCCTAAGGCAGGGCCTACTAGGAACCCTTACTGATGAGTCCACTAGCAGGCCCGAAAGCCCCCTCCTTTCCTTTTCTGTCCTAAGATAATTTCTCTGAGTTCCTACCCGCAGCAGCGCCACACTTTAATGAAATATTATTTCTGTCATGCTTCGTTCTATCATATAAATGTGTGCAACTGTCCTTATTCCATAGATTAAGTATGAGAAACACCATTCCGTAACTCTGATTATTAGTATACATGTGACAAAAAGAGACAGTTAAGACACAATTAATTTGTGGCGGGTTGAAATAAAATGATTTCAAACAAAATGAAAAGAGTGACAAGACAAGGCTTGGTCGCCCGAGTGGATCCGATAGCAGTAGCTCCAAGAGCAATGGTTGATGAAGTTGTTTCTCCGACAAATAAATAATCATGATCGATATAAGCAAAAAAAAAAACGTAAATGAAAGAATATGTTTGAAGCTAGAATTGTTATCGTCGCTGTGGCTATTAGAAAAATGTATAGTTATTTTCCCAGAGAACTGTAAAATTATACTGTTCCGCAAACTGCATTAGCAGCGCGCGGCCTATAATCACGACGCAAAGAGGGTTAAACTAGCAGGAAACGTCCACGGGAAGTCGTTTAATGCAGCGAGTCATTTCTTATCGGTAGGTCAATTTGACATCTGTCAAACTCTTTCGCTAAACACCAGGCGTATTAGAAAGTCAATGCACTCACCGGTCGTGTACATGGCGACACCTTTCAGGGTCACTGGCTCGAGAATGGCAGGCTCGCTCCTCCCTTTCGCATTAATCGCGTACAAAAAAAGTCGATAGCTCCTTCCTGTCGTTAGGCCTGCTACCTCGAACGCTGGCCCGTTCGGATTCACCGGGATGGTTCTGTTGAGTAAAATCGGTCCGCCGTCCTCGTCGGCGACTACCTCCAATTGGTAGCTGTAAATTGGAAGACCGCCGTCGTAACCCTCCAAGCATCGCACCTGCAGCCCGGTTCCAGATTTCGCGCTGAGCTCCTCCGCGTCCAACGGCGCTGACATTTCCGTCGCGCTGCAATTGTGCAGAGGATACGGCCGGCCTGCGGCTATCACCTGAAAAAACAAACATTTGTTTTTGATTGAATATCGAGAGAATTTCATTTCTACCTCTATGGTATTGACTATGGTATGACTATGATATTGTCTCGGCGTAGCTAGTGATTTTTTTGGCGAAATATTTTTCCGAACGCGCGTCAGTTTTTATTCAACGTTTGTCCACTACCTGAAACTACATACGTTAAACTACAATTTCACTACGTTTCGCTATAGACACGTAATAAGAAAATTAGCTGAATGGAAAAAGGTTTTATAAAATGAATATTTATCGATATCGTTGCAGTTTTTGACTTCGAACTGTTATGGTTTGGGTAAGACGATTAACACGAATGTATTCATAGACTTATTATTATTTTAATAATACTTTAAGATTACATAGTGTAACTTTTAGAAAATGAAAAAAGCATGTAACATCATCGAGTATAGTGAACTAGTCGTCGCGCGGGAGAGACCCATTCGGATCGGTCTCATACGTGGCGACACTGCATTCCTCAATACAAACTATGGAAGAATTTTATTTCTTACATTTTCTTGAAAGTTTTAGTATCGTGGAATTGACAAAATTGTATAGCAAGTTGCACAATTATAATAGTAAAGTTAATAGTCAATAAAAGGACTACAAGGTTTTAGCATCAAGAAATGAAAGAAAATTATCTGAATGGAAGGTTTCATAAAATGAATTTTTGTCGTTATCATGTAGTTCTTGATCTCGAATTGTGGAAGAATTTTATTTCTTACATTTTCTCGAAAGTTTTAGTGTTGAAAAGTTGACAAAATTGTATAGCAAGTTGCAAAATTATAATAGTAAACATTGAATAGTAGAGTGAATAGGCAATAAAAGGACTACAAGGTTTTGACATCAAGAAATGAAAGAAAATTATCTGAATGGAAGAAGGTTTTATAAAATGACTTTTTATCGCTATCGTTGTAGTTTTTGATCTCGAGCTATAGAAGAATTTTATTTCTTACATTCTCAAAGTTTTAGTGTCGTGGAATTAGCAAAATTATATAGCAAGTTGCAAAATTATAACAGTAAAAATTGAATAGTAGAGTGAATAGGCAATAAAAGGACTACAAGGTTTTGACATCAAGAAATGAAAGAAAGAGTCCGACTGGCTGACACGATTCCGATCATTTTGCTCATCATTCATTAAGACGATTCTAGTTTAGTATGATTGTGATTATTGTGAGAATTAAAATTCTAAAAAAAAGAATTCTCCTTATTATTTTTTTAATTCTAAGTACTTAGAATTTGTTAAAAATGATTATTTTTGTTTGTTGCAATGCTACTGAAAAGTATTTTCTTCTGTAAAGGATAGACTCCCAGCAATTTCTTCAACTTCCATATTTGTAATTCAAATCATTTTTCTTGGCAATGTTTTTGCAATATTTTCTCGGTACAGTGGGCAAGATGAAGCATTTCCACTGAAGCTCGACAAAAGCTGGATTCGCTAAATCCTCTCCTTTCAGTACTTCCTTGTGCTCGTCAAATGAAGCTAGGCTTATAGTACTCTAACGACGGAGAGACTACAGACAGAGAACAGACGATGATAGAAATATGTACATTTGGGATACGACGGAAGAGTACACAATGCGTAGAATTTATAGAGAAAGTAACTCCAAATTCGACATGCATCCAATGCAATCCTTGCAATGTGTGCATCCTTGTGCGTTTATCGATATGTATGAACGTGTAGGATATTCCACGGCAGACATAACTACGCTTAGATTGAATAGATCTACGTAGCTATCATGAGGTATTGTGCCTATTGAATTAATTAATTCGGGCTGATTGATGAGATTGTTCGAAGCTGTTACACGTCTTTGTAGAAATACTTATTAGTACGAACATACGCATGTACTCGTGAAAATGAGGAACAAAATTATACAATACTTTGTATACTAAATAATGTAACAGAAAGAGAATTTAAGGACTTATAGTATGTACTCACAAAAGTGTCTAATATAAGCAATTTTTCTGAAACAATAACGTAAGTGTCTAACTTTTATTTAAAAAATGTTGTATTAAATAATCCACGTCCACGTTACGTTAAAGCTTTGTTGTTAAATTGTTTAATATCTTCATAATGATTTTCTCTAATATGAAACACAAAAGAATTTAATTACCTGCATTATTGGATAAATATTTTCCCAAGAAATTTCAGCTATAAAATAAGAATTAAGTTTTCACAGTATCAGCACACTATTTGCAACCTATTTAGAACAAAGGAACGATTAGAAATTGTAAACGGTTCTTAGCGATCAACTTCTTCTATGATAAATATAAGAGAATTAATTAACAGAAACAACGCGTGAAAGATGAAAATTTGAATTCAAGGCGGCTGAATGGCGCAGGGAATAAAAGATTTATTGTCAAACTCGAGCCAGCGCCCCAGAGATTCATTAACCTTTTAACTAGCAGTCCCGAGTTATTTTCATATTTTTTTAATTACTCCGCGACCATTGAAAATCCCGAATAAACCGAGTAATTCATGTTTTAATGCGCGGACATTCGCCGTGAATAGAGTTTGAAACGATAACTTGACATTTTTTCGGTAAAAATGCGTAGCTTTTAAAATTTGTTGATTTTTGTATCATCGGTGCACCGTGTCGGAGAATTAGGAACGAATGTGAAAGTCGACCGACGTCCATCAAATATCTACCTTGGCCGACCATTTTCCATTTTCGAAGGAATTCGATTCTGGACCATTAAAAGCAATTCTGTGTTTGCACGTCCAATCGGCAATGACGGCCGTCGCGTTCGAATAACGTATCGCAAAGTGGGATCAGCATTTCCCTCTAATCGAACCAATTCCTGGTCTTGATTTTTTCCTAACACATCGCTCGCAAACTGCTTTCCAAAATTCGTATGCGTCCAGTTTTCATTTTGTCCGCTTACTGGTACAGATAATTGAACCAATCACTCTAATAATTTTGTATCGAGCATCAATTGCAAGAGAAATGAAATTGCCTATACAGAAGTTATCGTAGAAGGACATTTATACTATTTTTTATTATTTATATAATTTTATGTCATTCTTCCAAAATGAATAATTTAAACATGTATCAGAAAGGTAATAGATATACCTAAATCTTGAAATTGTTAAAAATAATTTTTTAAGTTATCGAAAATCATTGCTTTCAGATGATATACGACTTATAGTAGTCACATAGTTAAAATTGGTTTGTTTCATAAAACTTGTATACCTATTTAAAAATAATGATTTTCACTATTGTTTTTACACAAGTCTCATTAAAATATCTTTAACCTTTCAAAAATTGTGTGACAGGTCCCCTATAATTTTGAGAACTTCTATTTTTTATTGTTCTACCAGGTATTAAAAATATCATTGATTATATTTATTTAAAAATTATCATAATTTATTTGAAGTTATATCATATGAAATTATTTAATACGTATCTCAACTTTTCTAATTACTTGTTCCATCTTGTACATTGGAAAGAACTTTGTTCAAAGTATTGAAAGACACTTCTTAAATTACTTTTTTGTATAAAATACAAGATAAAACCATAAATTTTTAAAGCTCACAATTTGATTTAATTACATAGCGTAAAGATAGATTGCATATTTCATATACAGTGAGAGAAGAAAATTAACTGTGAACATTTGAGAAATTGTATGAACTTGGAAATCGTTCTAACAGGTGAAAATATGGAGAATAGGTATCAGAGATGATACGTAAGTTCTAAATGCAAGTACATCGCCGTAGTTTATCCGCCAAATTTTTGATAAATAATTAATCTATTGTGAGCGACAAAGCAATAATTTTTATATGTATACATTATATTTATTTTTATACTGACTTTCGATAAGAGCGTTTTTCTGTTGGAAGAGTTAAAGTCACGTATCAGGTTTCATTTTTCTCCGTTCGTTCGGTCGAAAGACATCGCAGTTCACGCACACAGGCACACCGATATCATTGCGAAAATGGTCAAATCGTGTTGATGCTCAAAACGTGCATGTCAGTTGGAAACACAAAGTCGAATCTTTTACTCTTTTTCTGCGATACGCGTACCATGGAGAAAATAAAGAAGTAAATGGATGAACCGAAATAAAAAATGTACATCACGAAAAGCTGACAAAGAAAACTTTTTACAAATTAAAGTTGCTTCTCTCATACAGTTACCAGAGTTTCCCTAAAGGCGTATAAAATGAAACAAATTAGGAAGGAACACGACTCTCCTCTAATAAATTAAAAAATATGTTTTTCAGTTAACAAATATAATTATGAGAATAAATGAAGCGTAACTTGACCTGTTAAATTAATTTAGTACAATTTGAACCGATAATAATGAATTGTATAGACTACAAAGTGTATATAATATACAATGTGATCCACATAAAGTGTTACAAGTTGTTTTTTAAAAAGTAATAAACATATTGACTTCATTTATTTGTAGTTAAATGATTCAGGGGGATTGATTATTTAGTTTGATGAAATAATAACTCTAATAAATAAATTATTAATAACTAATAATAAGAGAAATTGTTGCACATGAAAATATTAGCCTTCCTAAACCTAAAAATTCAATTAAAGAAAAACAAATGAAATCAATACCTTGATTGATTTTTAAGAAAACTATTTGTAACACTTTGTCTGGGCCACATCATATATCATAGTGCAAATAATAATTTGTACTATAATTCTAATTTTATCTTAGTGGTTGTTTGAGTTAATAATCATATTCTGGAAAGACAAATTTACCCTTCAGTAGCAACATTACTTCATTATTATTTTAATTCAATATTAATTTCAGTTTCCCACTTTTATATTTCATTATATTACTAATTCATTGCCTCTGCTTTATTTCATGAATTCATTAACTGAAACATTCTAAATAAAAGAGTTTCATACATTGTTCCTACAATCACAGAGAAACATAGTATATTATTTAACGAAGAATATTAATCTTGAGGACTAGAAATGTTGCATGCCTCAACAGAAAGATGATTAAATGCATTTTCGATTAACGATGATAGAGCACATTGCAGTAGAAATAATTTTGGACGTTACCGTGTTAAATTTAACGAATTGCGAGCACAAGCGTAACTCGTGGGAAATAAGAGAGGCACATTTACCTGAAAGAGGCACGGTGCTCGTTGCTTGCCAACCTGGTTGGTCGCCCAGCATGCCACCGTGCCATAGTCCATTTCCGTTGCTGGCGTGTAGTTTAGCCTGGAACCGTGAAACTGTTGGTACTCCTTCAGGCTCTCGGCGACGGACGGTGTCTCGGGCGCTGGCACGTGAGAGTAACGAGAATGAGGAACCTCCACCAGCTCCCCGGAATTATTGAATGTCCAGTGGAAGGTCAACGGTGCCGGATGACTCTCCACGGAACAAACCAACGATACGGTTTCCTGTTTCAAGGCGCCGACCACAACCTCGCTTCTACCCTCTTTGCAGACCGGGGTATCTGAAAGCATGCGTTACGTTTCTCCCTATTACAATTTTTTATTATTTTTTGTTAAAAATTACAACTACATGGTTCCTTCTTAAGGATTTATCCAAGGGTATACTCCATTTTAGCGTTTTGGAAACATCAGTTTGTTTTGCCTCCATTTTCTGATACTGTAGAAACTTGAAACGTGCTCCCAAACGACATTAATCGTATTTATAAAAATAATAGAAACAAATTATAACTACATTCAATTTAAATTAATAATAGTTATTTAAGTTATTACTACATGGTTCTTGAGGATTTATCGAAGGATGTACACCATTTTGGTACTCTAGAAACATTAGTTTGTTTTGCCTCCATTTTCTGATACTGTAAGAACTTGAAATGTGCTCCCAAACGACGTTAACCGTATTTATAAAAATAATAGAAACAAATTATAACTACATTCAATTTAAATTAATAATAGTTATTTAAGTTATTACTACATGGTTCTTGAGAATTTATCGAAGGATGTACACCATTTTGGTACTCTAGAAACATTAGTTTGTTTTGCCTCCATTTTCTGATACTGTAGGAACTTGAAACGTGCTCCCAAACGACGTTAACCGTATTTATAAAAATAATAGAAACAAATTATAACTACATTCAATTTAAATTAATAATAGTTATTTAAGTTATTACTACATGGTTCTTGAGGATTTATCGAAGGATGTACACCATTTTGGTACTCTAGAAACATTAGTTTGTTTTGCCTCCATTTTCTGATACTGTAGGAACTTGAAACGTGCTCCCAAACGACGTTAACCGTATTTATAAAAATAATAGAAACAAATTATAACTACATTCAATTTAAATTAATAATAGTTATTTAAGTTATTACTACATGGTTCTTGAGGATTTATCGAAGGATGTACACCATTTTGGTACTCTAGAAACATTAGTTTGTTTTGCCTCCATTTTCTGATACTGTACGAACTTAAAATGTGCTCCCAAACGACATTAATCGAATTTGTAAATATTATAGAAAAAAATTGTATTATACAAATTCCAGGTGTACCAGGTGCATTCTAAGAGTTTCAAGATAATATCTTGAACAGTTTGTTTCTATGAAGTCTTAGACATAACCTACTTTTTTCGTATTTCAACAAGAATAAATCTTCGGGTCTCTGCAAACGTGTATTACGTCTCTCTTTATTACAATTTTTTTACTATTTTTTTTTAAAGTTATATCTACATGGTTCTTGAGGATTTATCGAAGGATATACACCATTTTGGTACTCTGGAAACATCAGTTTGTTTTGCCTCCATTTTTTGATACTATAGGAACTTAAAACGTGCTCCCAAGCGATATTATTCGAATTTATAAAAATAATAGAAGAAATTGTATTACGCAAATCCCAGATGTACCACGTATATTGTGGGAGTTTTAAGATAATATCTTGAACTGTTTGTTTCTATGAAGTTTTAGACATAACCTACTTTTTTCGTATTTCAACAAGAATAAACCTTAGAGTCTCTGCAAACGTGTGTTACGTTTCTCTTTATTACAATTTTTTTTGAAAGTTATAATTACATGTACATCATTTTGGTACTCTGGAAACATCAGTTTGTTTTGCCTCCATTTTCTGATACTATAGGAACTTGAAACGTGCTCCCAAACGGTATTATTCGAATTTATAAAAGTAACAGTGCTACAATAGAAGAAATTTTGCTATGCAAATGTCAGGTGTACTATGTACATTGCCGCGGTTTTAAAATAATATCTTGAACAGTTTGTTTCTACAAAATTTCAGACATAACCTATCTTTTTCGTAGTTTCACAAGAATAGACCTTTCGGTACAGTAATTTCCATTTACGTTATACATTCAGATAAAGAAGTGTTTTAAAAAATATTGGATAAAATTCTTTTTACGAAACCTTGTTTTCGAAAGAAATACATTCCCCCGTACAAAACGAAATTAACCAACATCATTGAGAACATGTAACGATAAAATATGAAGTATTTTATATTTACAAGATACAAATCGTCCATCTTATTTTTGTGTTCCGCTCATAAACAGCAATTCAATTCAGCGAATTGAAACGTCAAAGCAGAGTAGCATTATCAATTGGCATAAAGTTACATTTTAACATTATCGAACGCTCATTGGAAATCCGAAGCGATAGAGTGAACCATAAACTGAACGGTCACTCGGATCCAATTGACCTAACACGAGGGTAAGTCAGACGGTGTACCCGGTTGTGGTTGTAGCTACTGCTCTGAACGTCTACGTAGATATATCACTATTGCAATTTAGCCAATTGGAGTAGAACCTGACGCTAACTGAGTAAATTACCTGTCATTACTAGAGCACGACACGCCGCTGAACAATAATTTCAGACGAATTAATCGTCCTTGGATCTTAAATTTAACTAATTATATCGGAAATCTCCGCGCCACGGCAATGCTCGAGTCGCTCTACTTTTTCACCTAATAAGTTGTGTTGCATGCGCAGCAACTTTCGAAACGTACTTGACAAAATTCCTACGCGTGTCGCACGCGATGAATTAATATTGTATGAGTTATTGGAAAGATAAAAAAAATGCAATTAACTCCACACATAGTAGTACCTTATTTGGGCATATTGGATCCTTAAACTTAATTAGATTTTTTTCTACGAAAACTATGTTGAATTATTTATGAGTTCCTAGTAGTGCTACAAATTAAATTGTACGTATATGAATACTTCAGTTTTAAAATTTGATAACTTCAGGGAAGTCCATAACGAACAGTTGACTATCTATTAAAAGATCCAATATATCTCGCAGAGAAGTATCGATATGGTATCGATAATTTCCGCTATCGAAAGCTATCGATAATTCTGATATTCTTGTTTTGTGATTGCAAATATATTTTAACGCTGCTTCTTAATTTTGTCAATATCCTGCGATTAAATTGAGGTTAAACTAGCTTTTTGTTTATGAAAAAATTATTTACTGTACGATAGTTTATTAGAGTTGCCGATTGGCCTAACAAAAACCAATTGTAATTTCAAATAGGTTAATAAGAAACGATTTGTTTCTATAGAAAATAAAAGATTTTCCCCTAGATTGTAATATTTCAGGCAGCAAATAAATATCGTTAATTTCATGTCCGTTTTTAATATTATTCCTGCTATTTTAAAAGAAAGCAATCAATTTTTTAACAAATTTCCACGGTAAACCATTAAACCTTGTGTAGTCTGGCAAAAAATTGAAATATGCTTGGCCTATTGGGGTTCACCTAATTCCACCAGGAACTTAGATAAATACAATGCATATACTTTATATGTTAAAAATTTCTGACTAATATCCTCAAAGTAGACCAAACTTCATCAGTTTTTACAAATACATTACATGTTTAGTAATTTTTCGAACCTCATTTTATAGTAGTACATGGTATCAGTGTATTGACATCGTATTTACGTCTAATTGTTTGAATTATTTATAGGTATTTCTTCTTAAAAAATTATGGTGAAATTGTGATCAAGTGAGAGAAACAAACTTAAAAGACAGTTAAGAAAAAACTGGTGAAAATGTATCGAATATAGAACAGAACTTTGCACACTCGCCAGAAGGGGGATACACTCTCTCACAAGTACTCGACCCACCACCTATTTCTGTATATAAACTTTTCGATGATCAAAGGTGTAACACTCCTTTCTCGTTCCCTTTTCTTTCGTCCTGCTATCTTGGAGATGCAATTGTTTTAGCAACAGTCAGACCCCAAAATATCTACTTAAGTTCATGGCCCACCCCCTCCCCTTTAAATCGCTCAACAAGAGATCAAGTTTACCGCTGTTGTATAGGAAAATCGATTATGAGTGCAAAACGAATAGAAATTATCAGGTAAAGTTTTCTGTTTCTCGGAAAAGCTAGTCTCGCGCAAAAGTAACATACAAGTAACGCGATCTACGCGGAAAGCGGACGGCCCCGAAGATCTTGCACCGGTGAAACGCATAATCTCCAACCGTGTTAAACTTAAGATGATAAAATGATAAGATGACAACATTCGGCCAACGGTACGTTCAATCGATCGTTTAATAGGAAATCCCCTTGACATCGGCATTTGCAATAGGCCATGGCATACGGAAATTCCAAATGGCACGAGCGATGATTTATGGCGGAAGCACGGAATCACGAGATGGCTCCGTTTCAATCTGATGCGTTTGATGCACTACCGAATTAATTACTAATACGAGAAATCGGCGATATCAGGTTCACGTTGGCAGACGTCGATGTATCATCAAGACCCGGCTTACTCATTGGTAATCATAGTATGTACCCACGGTACTCATTAGCACGTATTATGAACAGCTTAATACCGCTAGGAGCTATAAAGAATGACTCTGCTCCGGGTGACATTCACGAAGATTCAGGGACTTTCCCTCCAGCTCTTCAGTATACTAATTGGAATGCGTATAATGTCCTTTTATGAGATCAGCGGGAGCTTCCACGCAAAGGGTGAAAGCCACATGAGCCTCTTAGAATGACGATGTAGAGGGCGATTACCCCGTTTTGAGGAATCAGCGCACTCTAAACAGATTTACTGGTTCGCGTCCTCTAATCTTTCGCGCATTGAGTTTCACCATCTCTGAATTCAACTTCGAGGAATTTTATGGAAATATGCGTCAAACGTATGTATATTTGGCTGCGTCCTACAGCTTAATCCTTTCGGATTATTTTAAGCGTGATTTTCGGTCGGGATTCGTTAACTAGTAACTCTTTTTTATACAATTACGGTCATACTGTAAATGTATGATGAAAAATGTATCAAGGAAGATCAGAGGGAGGCAAAAAGTCTGGCCAACTGAAATACATTATTCCTAAGCTAGATTTTTCTGGTAAAGGTGTCGAAAATATCTCAACAACGCTTTCATCCTTTTAAATGGTATCGTTTATATTGTATCTTCAGTGGCAAAACAGCTGTTTAGACGATTTCAACCAATTATTCTACAAGTTACATCGAGGACCAAGCTCGTTCGAAAATGAAACAGAAATATATGTTTGTAGCCCATTGAATATTTATCGTTTATTACAATGTTTCGTTTCTGTCATCTATAATGTAGCCAAAAGAACAGATTTAATCATTCGTAATGGTTAGTTAGTGACCAAAATCATTTAATTGCAGATATTAATCCTTATACTCCTTGCAGATATTAATCCTTATTAGCCGGCATACTCGGGACTGGGGAAATACCAGAAAATCAAATATGCCAGATAATTGAATTATACCTACATATGAAGTTATAGAAACGAGGAATATAATCACAGACGAGATACACGAGTAGACCTTACATTTAATAAGTAGTCACAAAAAGTAATTCTAATTGACCCCCGCAACCGAAAATAATTTTTCTAAAATGATTTGAAATTTTTTAATTTCACCGAACAATTTCTGCACTTACCACCTGTCAATTTTTCTTAAAAATTTGTTTTTTATTTTTAATAATTTTGTTTGACGCCTTACAGAAACGTTGTTTAACACTTTTTTGTAGGTATCCATAAGCTCTACTTTTATACTTAATTTTATTGAGATACGTTTACTATTGTAGGAGTTGTAGTCGTTTGAAAATTGGACCATTTTTATGGGGTTAAGGAACAATTTCCCCAACATTTTTAGAATGTCTAAATTTTCCTTACCAAAATACGCGTTGTTTGCATTTTAAAACATTAAAATCCTTAAATCCGTTCAAGAGTTATGATTTTTTAAACATATGCATGTGGAGAAATATTTCTGGCCACCCATTATATTTTCGGTAAAGAATTTTTTTTTCAAAAGTGCGCAGGATTTCGGGAGTATGTGTGTTTACAAAAAGTAATTGTAATTGAACCTCGTAAACAAAAATAATTTGGAATTTTTTAATTTTCGCCAAAAAATTTCCGCACTTTCCAACTGTCAATTTTTCTTTAAAATTTGTTTTCCATTTTGAATAAACACAACCATGAGTAATATATTAATAAAAAATAAAATATATAAAATTCCTACGCTTGAATCGTCAACTGTTTAGTATCGACGTCACTGCTGGATGCATGGAGCTGTGACTTTTTTGTTTGTGTGAAATATTTGTCAAACATTTATCAAAGAATAATCGGGGTGAATATGCCAATTATTCGGACATTCCAGATAATCGGAACTCTACTGTATCATAACTTTAAAAAGATATCACATATATTAGATCATTCGTTATGTCAAGTTCCTTTAATGCCACTAATTTAATCCTTTGCATTATGTTAGATTGGCGTTCAACAAGGAAGAAACTATTTTCTTCAGACAAGCAAACGCACAGAATCGAAGAAGGTTGACTTTGTTCAGGGCAAATGTAAACACGCTAAATGTGTGTGTGATGGCCACGTCCAAACACGGCGGCGGGAGTATAATGGTGTGGGGTTGTTTATCCGATGATAAAGTCGGCGATTTAGTCAAAATAGACGGCAAGAGGTGTAGTACAGCCGCGTACCAGAGGAACATACCGTTCCATCTGGAGGAAGGCTGGGTGTGTAAACGATTTGTTATCCAAGGAAGACAGCGACCCAAAACACACATCGAAACTTTGTTGGTCATGTTTAGCGCGGCGGGAAGAGGAAGCAATCCTAAGGAGGATGCTTTGACCATCCCAATCTCCAAACTTTGATCCAATTAAAATGGATTAGATCTCGAGGTCTGTGCTTTCGAATAGCATGGACAAGAAAATGAAACATAGAACGAAAAAATGGGGATAAAAATACTTTTTATTTTTTAGACTTTAACGCGTTACCTAAAATTATTGAGCACGTGAGTTTACGAAAGCATAAAACATACATTCTAAAACTGTCGCAAAGAAGTCGATGAAGAATATTTTCTGCGAACGATTAAGCTTCTTATTAAAACTTCATTTTTTCGAAAATATAAACCCCTCAAATTAATTTGCATAATGTATTTCTGTATACGCAATGTACCACTATAATCACGACAAGGTCAAGTATTTTTATGTTTCCAATGCACGAACGATAATTACTATCAAGTATCATGCACTATTGCAATAGCGGAAACAAGATTAAAAAGAAGAAGAAAATAGTATCCGATCAGTGAAATTCTTTGACGACAGAGAGTAACAAAGACTGATATTTATAATAAATAATAATATAATTCTAATTTCTTATATCTCTAAAATGATCGATCACGTAATATTTTGTTATACTGATAATTTCCTTAATAATTCCATGACATATGATTTCTCGTTAAATCATGGGCATACATGTACAACACGTTAAAATTAAAATTTAAGGAATGATCTAATTCATCGAAAAAACATCAGCATTTTTTTAAATTTTGTAGCGACACTTCCGGTGCTCGCCAGCAGAAGGCTACGCTCTCTCGCAAGTACTCGATTGACTTTCTATTCCCGGTGTCCTCCTGTTATCTCGCCCACTACTTCCTACAACAGCAAACCGCCACAATTTATTTTAGCACACGAGAAAATTAGACCTCTTGTAAAATCCAGAATTGCAGTCACTTGGCCTTCCGCTCTATCCGTGGCTGATTGCAAGGATTCACCGTGACCAGCAATTTCGAGGTAGCCTTAACAAGGTTAAAATTTGTACTTTCGTTGTAAAGATTTCATGCAATACACAGTTAGAATGTTGAAAATATAATAAATAAAAATAAATTCTTAATTTCCTCCCTCCGAATGATGGAGCACATGGTGGTGCAGAAATGGTTCAACTGCATCGAGGATAAGGAAGAGGCAATCTTCGAAATTCTTGAGTGACTCGGCTTTGGACCAATGTCAACACTGCGTGGGAGAGAGACGGAGGTTAAAACACTACGATGGTTTCGCGGTTCCCTTTACTTCTGCGCGCCCCTGTCGCCCCCTGGCCTAGCTTAGCACATTGCCAGGCTGCGTTCACCTACACATGAATATTCAGCTACGCTTTACATACATTGAATATGCATCGCAGTCCTTCCTTCCCTCTTAGGTCATTTACAAGATGCAGATACGCCGGGCTACCACCAGGGGGTACCAACCATTCTAATAGAATAACTCGTGCTGTATGTTTTACAGAAAACTATCTATCCTATCCTCGCCCTGCGGGCATATCCCTTCCAGACCTTTCGCGCTGATTTTCCAGCTACGCGCTGAAGTACCCTTCAAGCCCAATTCCCGGTACGCGTACTCGGGTGCCACTTGCTATCGATTAAGTAATTATCGAGGACTCGAGGCGAGAGCTGGCAAATTAGAGAATTGGTCCGGGGAATATCAACCCGGTACTACAATTCTATTCGCGACCTCTTCCGTTGTTCTTGTGATTAACGAGTGGCAGGCTAAGGGGGATCCCTGATTAGACCAAACCAGACGCCTTTGTGCTACTTTAAGGGTAGCCGAGTTAGGCGTCGGCAAAATAAATTTTTGCTCAAATTGTTGCGCGACGGAAACCCCATTTGTTATTCCTTGTTTGACGAAGGCAATCGCGAACCCATTAATCAGAGGTCAAACACTAACAGAGTTTACTTAATATATTAACCCTAAAATAGCTTCTGGCAAATTTGACTTTTACGGTTATTTGAAATTTGATTTTGTCTGGTTTCAATTAGGCGAATTTGCACGGGGCATCAAGAGATTTCTGATTATTGTATAGGACAAAATTTTCTAAAAATATGCTTCTGGCAAATTTGATTTTTAGGGTTATTTAAAATTTGATTATCTCTGGTTTCAATTAGGCGAATTTGCATGGGGCATCAAGAGATTTCTGATGATTGTATAGGACAAAATTTTCTAAAAATATGCTTCTGGCAAATTTGATTTTTAGAGTTATTTGAAATTTGATTTTGTCTGGTTTCAATTAGGCGAATTTGCAGGGGACGTCAAAATATTTCTGATGATTGTACAGGACAAAATTTTCTAAAAATGTGTTTTCTTGGAACTTTTTACTTCTATGCAATAAAACATTCGTTTCTTAGATTAGGCATATCATTTGTGTTGTATGATATAGCATGATGCGTGTCTGTTCAAATAGGAAACTCCAGATGGAAGAAGACAAACTCATTATAAAAATATATCTTTATAATTTTTTTTCATAAATAAGTTTTGTGATATGGTAAAGCAGATACCAATCGAATAAAATAATTTGTTCCAGCGATATACCATTTAATTTGAGGGGATTTGTTATTCGCTGATTCGTAAGGAAGTGTGTTAGAATTTTCTGGTAGGCGATTAGAAAAAAAATTGTATTATTAGAATTTATAGATGTAATAACGATAAATGACTTCATTTCAAATTATTTATTATGTCACTATCAATTTGTAACGGAATAGTTAGTTAATAATTGGCAAAATTGAAAACAATTATAGATAATCTATAAATGAAAAATCAAAAAGTAAAATGGCTTATATACTATTTATTAATCGAAATCATTGTTTACGCAAATCTGAGAAAGCAAGTATTATCCGAACGATTACTTAGATATAAAATCAAAGTATTCTACACAAATGTGTCTAAGAAACGTATAATCATTGTTATAAACTATAAGAATGAAACGACTTTTTTTGTACGTACAGATAAAGTGATTAATAAATAGACTGAATAATACTAGAATAAATAGAATTCGAAGCAGTTCTGAAGTTGAAGTTGTAAACTTACACATTATTTGAAGTGTCACCGGGTTACTGGCAGTCTTTCCCTCGCTATTGGCAGCAAGACAAGTATAATCACCAGCCGAGTATCGGGTTATGCGTTGGAGAACCAAAGAAAGATCGCTGAGGACGATACCCGCTGTGGAATTGTTCTTCAACTCTTTGCCCTGGAACAAATGACGCCACTTTGTTACATAAATCTTCCTTTCACCGTAGTAGTAAATGTTTGACACGAAGTGCTAAATGCTATCATTTGTGTGCTTTCAGCCGTTAAAGCCTTTGGAATACTTTTTATACTTATAAATCGTTACTGCCAACTAAAGACCTTTCGTTTCATTACTCTTCCCAAAGACGTAATACCGCCGAAATAATTATCGATACAGATAATACAGGTAGTGTAATGGAACTCTGAATTAATTTATTATTTATATTTTTTACCTATGAAATTTGATACTTTGCTAGGATATGAAACGGAATATTAATTCTATTCCATTCTATTTTAAATAATAATATAATACATTTCTTATACTTGACATCTGTATGATTGTTAATTCCCAATGGAAACTTAGATACGGTTAATACAACTACAGTAATGGAACATTGAATTAATTTATCTTGCAGAGGAACTGATTGGATAATTATATATAGACAATATTTAAATGTTAAACACTACCATTTTAATTATTCATTACATATTACATAGTTAAATAAATTACGAACAAACGACTCGACTCGACTCAACTCGAACAAAAGACACGGGAATCCCCGTACGATCTTCAACCTTACAGGTGTCGCCACTTTGGCCGCGTGCTTATTGCCGCGAGATTATGAACGGCTCAACATATTCTATTATATTTCAAATAATAATATAATACATTTCTTATACTTGATATCTGTATGATTGTTATTCCCAATGGAAAGATAGAAATAACGATAAGAATTGTGCAGACGTAAGAAGGGAGATAAAGGAAACTTACATTTTTGAACCAAGCGAGCTTGTACACTTTCGGATTAGCCCTAACCGAGCACTCGAAGTACACGTCATCGCCCTCTTTGATATCGTCTGGATTCAAGTTCTCGCCCATCTTGAGGGTCACCACCGGCTGATACTGCACGTCCAGCCTCCACTTATCCTCCAAAATACTGCCAGGAATAGCAGGGTTCTCCGCCCGACACGCCAGATATTTGCCATCGTCGTCGATACTTGGCACGAAACTCAGGATACTCAGGCTCTGATTATTTTCCAGCTCGTACTGCACAATAAAATAAAATCCCGCTATCGACAACCGTCTCATAAACGTATCGATGTACGTAGATTTAATATTTTGAACAAACTGTCTTCTTCTCGATCGAAAACATGCATGCATCTACTAAAAATACGTCGAACAGCTTTGCGAGATTCCTCAACCGGTAGACGTAAATGCAATGCTACAAATTATACCGTACGGTACTGAAATTACTATGCAAGGTAATTTTAGAATCTGGAACAAGCTGTAGATCTTTTCTACACGTACTTCAATCTGTTTTCTAAATGGAACATCGACTTTCTTCATCGTACTGCATATAAAACTATTGAGGTACGATCATTAAAAACGTAACATTTTATGAGATACTTCCTACTTTATATTTACATTTCGTGTAAACATTTTTTAATCTGCCCCTCGAAGCAGTTATTTTTAATCATATACTTTGGCTTGAGGTTCTTTTTAAATTTTTAAAAGACGGTTCGTAATGGTAATGTCGGATCAGGATATTTAGTACGATGTACAAATTATTTTAAAACGGACAAATTAAAGTATGGGAATCATTTATACGAGAAAACATGGAAAAGTTTTTCACTATTTTGCAACCTGAATGTCGCTAATATGGAGCCTTTTAGTTTAAAAATATTGCATTGCTTATGAAATATAACCTGATTACACGAATAACAACATAAACGCACAGAATTTAAACAAAAACGAATACATTTTGTATGCCATAATTATACATATATGATATAATAAATAGTAATTCTTTGTTGATGAGAACGTGTTGATTGATCGTTTAAGTTTTCTGACTCGTCTTTGTGCAAAATTATTTATGTAATCCTATTTATGCACTGCAAAAACTAATCCTCGACAGTTATGATATTTTAAAGTTAATAATATGTAAGTTAATTGATACTGATACTATTATATGTCAAAATGCACTGGTCCATTCGAACGCAAGTCTTTGATCGATCACTCGAATTGACAAAGGGTTTAGGATACAGGATGCTATCTGTTATTGATTAATTAATCTCTTTGCAATGAATATTGTCTGTAATATGGTTAATAAATGTTGAGAATTTATTCTTGGCCAATTACACTTATTGTTCTACTGTTCAGTGTAAAACAGGTAATTGTGGTAAATATTCATCTATTAAGATAGGATGAAATATGATTGAATTGGGTTAATAGGTAATCCTATTTGATCTATTAGCATTTAATCGTATCATTCTAACAGTTTGTGATTTTTAGCTGTAAATATAAATTTCAGTCCAGAAACCAGACACTATTTTTATATTATTAACTTGAATAAAAATTATTTGTTCAAAGTTATCTGATATCTAGTTGGACAATTTCTATAGTGTTATTCTTTAATATTATCACGCAACAGTGGCATCGAGCCGTTAACTTTAATTATTTCTCATTTATTTAATTTCAATGTGTCACCTATTGTTGAAAAAAATATAAGTAGGGCTGCAGTCCCAATTTCTTCAGATTAAAAACAATTTTGCCAGCTAATAAAAAGGGATACTTTTTAAAACAATTTCAATCGAATCAATTGCGGCATCCGTATATTCGCCTATTTCAACTCTCTGAAACGTTATTGGGAGAAAAGAATGCATAAATTTTGTTTTTTAGTGCTCTGTAGCATATGTAAAAATAATAAAACTTGATAGGATACATCAAAGTGGTGTTCCTTGTTAGCCGCAGGCCTTACAAAGGCTGACAAAAACGTCGGAACCAATACAACTCGCAATTCCTCCCAGGGCTGATCTTTTTTCTCCCGACAATACCTGCTGGTTCGCGTTAGTTGAGGCCAATCACTTTGCTTCAATCGATCGAATGTCTCCAATCAATTAAACCTAGTGACTATTACTCGTATCAAATCGAAAATATTCTTAAAATCAATCCTCTATTTCGATCTAGTTATAATCGTGGTAACAGTCGAACTAATTTCACAATTCAGTTAAACTTTAATAAAGATATTATAAAGTGAATAATTTGTTATTAGTATTAGCTTTCATTTCAATAGAAAGTCGTTCTTACTGATGTTAATAGTTAGGATGAAGCTCTCAGTTTTTCAGAGAAGAAGGCAATAGCCTGTCTCCAACTTGAAGATTAAAAATGGTGGTCGTTAATAAGAGGCAACAGAGCAAACAAGTGTCAACGGAAACAGCCCTTTCGTATCAGATGTGGAATCTTCATCACGCGATGTATATTTCATTGGTTTGAAAATGCACTTGAAGTGATAATTTATGATGTAATTATAGGCTAAAACGCAAGAAGGATTTACATGGTAAAGTAGTCAAATGTCAATACCATGAGAACTTTGAAGAATAAACATTCTATTTAATAACTATATACTACTACTGTCGAGGGCTACGTGTCACAACAATATTGTCGGAAGCTAGTCTTAAATGGCAGTTTAATGTATGAAACGTCGATACTTTTTGCAGAGCGAATCTCATCAGCCCAGTACTGTAGAGCGAACATCGTTCCAACAAGACAAATGTCGCCTATCACCCCTGTAGAGACAATGTCGTTTCTGTCAGACAAATGTCGCCAATCACCCACGCGGAGTGAATGTAGCTCACATAAAGCAAACGTCAATAATCGTACCCAATAAAGCGAACGTCGCTCACCGGTAGTCAAACCTTGTCTGATCGGCGAGGTTAATAAGAAATCATCGTTTCAACCCAGGCGGAACACTATTAATGGATAATGTGGCTGTCGCGAGTATCAAAGGGTGAGCAAAGAGTACCATTTATTGTTGAGGATGACGGGAAACGGGAGCGAAAAGCGAAGAATTGTGAAAGGATCGAGTGAGAACTCAAAAATATGAGTTTCTTTTATTAAACAAGATAGGAAAAGGCATAGATTTTACTCCTTTTTCATTTCTTTTAAATTTTAAATATTTCTTTAACCTTTTCAGATTACGAATATACAGAATGTCGTGTGCAACTGGCAGAAGTAAATGGTATGAGGAAAAGTAGTTTTACTGAAATGTTATCTGATATGAGTTGAAAATTTTATGTGTATTTCTGTTTGAACTGGAGCCACGTTTCTTAATAAATTATAAAATTCAAAGTCATCGCGTAGATCTTCATAAATTTTGCGTGATAAGTTCACTTATTATATCTGAGTCAAGAATTTGTGGCGGCACTTCCTACAGTCGCCAGTAGAGGGCTATGCTCTCTCACAAGTACTCGATAGATCTTCCGATCGGACGTCTAAGGTATGGCTTGCTAGGGTTGCCTTACTGAGTCCACTAGCAGTCGCCACGACTATTATTATCTGTATTTTATTTCATACATTAATATTAAATAAACTGTGCTTCTCTATCTCTCCAAATAAAGTTTTCTAAACTCCAATCTAATCGTTCAAGAAGTGTTAACATTAAAACTCTGACACCTTTCTTCTCAGAATTCTCTTACGAGTGGGACATTTCATTTAACATGCTCACTGCCATATCAAAACCGTATAATATTCTACAAAAGTAAAATTTTGATTTTAGATCATTGTAAGCTACATAACTTACAGTTTATTTCAGTACTTATTTTCGTAGCCTCGTTACAATTCACAAATACTATCCAAATTTATTTCTATCAACGTCTTAAGTCGAGAATTAATTTTCCTAGTATCACAATGATAAATCCTGTCAACCACATGTGGATGATGTGGCAGTGAAAGTGTTGAAAAGTCGAAGATAACATTGAAATTTCTGTAAAAATACATCCTCCTCAATAGAATACAATTATTGTATGAAAACATTTGATGTGTAGTAGTTGAATTAAGTGCTATTTAAGGTTGTAAAGTTAGGTAGTTTGCGTTGTGCGTGGCGCCAACTTCCTGCACTCGCCAGCAGAGGGCCACGCTTTCTCATAAGTACTCGCTGTTTGTCAGCTATCAGTTAGTAAATACGATTAAAACACCCGTTTCTTTTCCCTGTACAGAAACGCGAGCCATCGTATTAAACACCGAGCTTCCTCTTGCAGACCTCTTGCATCCTCCAGGAGAGGGCCACGGTCTCTCACAAGTACTCGTTGTTTCCCAGCTACCTTGATTACTTCTTCTCACAACACAGCAATCCTCCACAATTTATAATCGCTGTTTAGTAAATACTATTAAAAACCCCGTTTCTTTTTCCTGTAGAAAAACGCGAGCCACCGTATTAAACATCGAGTTTCCTCTCGCAACGTCGACGAAATTCCCAAATCGTTCGGAGATTAACGTCTCGAAATTTCAATCAAACGGCGAGCAGATTTGACGCGGTATCCCGGGTGCGAACGAAACTACCCCCGGACAATTTGTCATGCGTTTAATATGAAAATCAATTCGTAGGTCGGGTACGCATTGCTACAGAAGAGAGATGAGAAAATAAAGGGACGAAAAGAGATTAACGATTTTTCGGGATTTATGATGCAGCGGCGCGGAATTGAGGAAAATGGTCGGGTGCAAGGGGGTAGAGCGTAGGCGGCTCCCGTCGACTATGCCTCCTCTACCGCCCTTTTCGAGCTTTTCTGTTTCTCTTCATCGCTCTCTCTAACCATCCGTTCCCGCGATGTCATTTTAATGATAACGCCACCAGGCATGCATATCGAGGAAGCACCCGCGTATCCGCATCGGTATATCGCGAATACGATGAATGGAAGTAACGGTTCGTCAGGATGAATGTCGCCACGAGTCCCCTCGCCTCGACTTTCTCTTTCTTTCTCTCTTCGCGCAACCGGAGTCCCTTTGGCTCGCCGTGTTCATTCTCCGTCGTTCACTTTTCGTTCCACTTGTCACACCGGTGGTGGTTTCTCTCTATCGTTGCCCTTCCTGCTGTAAGCTTTCGCTGCACGCTGCTTTCAGTTCGCTCCGCTGCGAGGCGATCGAATTTCCCGATAAAGCTACGCCGGACAGTCCAACAGCGCCGTCGATATATCCTGCAGGGAGATTGTATGCCGCCGTCGCGATTACGGCGAACGGGTGTGTGCGCAGAAACTGAAAGTTATCCACGCAGA